CTCCCAAGTAGCTGGGACTATAGGCACCTGCCACAAGACCCGGCTATTTTTTGGTTGCAATTGTCATTGTTGTTTGGCAGGCCCAGGCTGCATTCAAACCTGCCTGGTCCAGTGTATGTGGCTGGCACCCTAGCCACTGAGCTACAGGCACCAAGCCGACAATATAAATCTTATTGTGTATATATATATATATATATTTTTTTTTTTTTAAATAGACATTCATGAGCTGTTTTGCAGTTTTTGGCCGGGGCTGGGTTTGAACCCGCCACCTCTGGCATATGGGGCCGATGCCCTACTCCTTTGAGCCACAGGCACTGCCCAACAATATAAATCTTAATTACATGAACTTTGAAATAAGGTGACAAGACTCTGGGAACAACTAGAACTGTCATTTTAGTCTCTCTCTCACCTCTTCATGAGAGGAACCCACTTCCAACACTTTGGAGTGCTCTTAAACTTCTTTTTTTTCTTAAATAAAAGCTTTCTTTGTTACATTGAAAAAAAAAGAAATGTCATTTTAAAAGTGAAGACTAAGCTATAAGGATTATAAGAGCAGAAAATATAGCAAATAGTTCCTTAAGAAAAATAGTAGGTAAAAAGAGGAGCGCTTTGAAAACCAAAAGGAAATGAAGGAGGCACTGAATGTCAAGGCATAAAGAGCTCTGTATCTAAGGTTTTTGAAGTCTAGTGAGAAACTCAGGCATGCAAACAAATTAAGATAGTATTATGTTTGAGTAGCCTATGTTAGAACAATTCTGTAGTTAGCCATTATAAATTTTTGATAAAACATAAATACACAGCTTGATGAAAGTACTTCAAATTGTATATGAAAATACTACACTGTACCCCATGTTTGCATTAATGTATACAGCTATCATTTAATAAGAAAAAAAAAACATAAATACACTATCTATTGAAACTGGCCAAAAGGAGGCAGAAACTAGAGGGTAGTCAGAACCTGGATGAAAGAATGATACCTTATTTGCTTACCTGGATCTTCGTCTGATGGCAGTTGCCATCAAGTGCTTGGAAGTAGGAACTTGAGGAACCAGATGGTAGAATTTGTAGCTACCTAAGCAGCTGAAAAATGAAAGGAGAGGGAGAATATCTCAGGATGGAGAAAGGTATCCATACAAAGTAGTAAATCCTACACATAAAGCTCTGCCCAGACAGATCTCTAGTTGACTTTTGACCTACATGTTTGAAGCAGACTTAGAGCAGCCCTTGTTCTTCTAAGGCTAAAAGATCTTGTGGTATTTCAGTTGTTGCCCATTATAGGGTGGCAGATTTTTTATTTAAGTTCAGCCAAATTAATTCCCTGATTAAACAAAGCAAAAAGCAACAATTTCCAAAGGAGTATAAAATATTCCAGGGCTCTACAACACACCTATCATGCTGCTCAGGATACAAACCAAAATTATTAGATATAGTGAGAAAGAAAATGTGACCTTTGGGAAAGAGAAAAAATAAGTGGAAACTGTCTTTGAGATGGTGTAGATATTGAAATTAGCAAAAAGGGTTATAGGTCCTCTATAACCATGTTAAAGGCCCTAAAGGGATATATGTTCAGATTAAACAAATAGGATATCTAAGTGAAGGGGAAAAAACTAAAAATCAAATGATCTTATAGACCATTTTCACTGGGAAAAAAACTTCATTGAGCATTAAAAGAGCAAGTAACTTACAAGAGAAAATTAGATTATTAAACATTTTCACAAAATACCTGAAGTAAAAACATTCACTGCAGTATCTAGTTGGAAATGGCAGAAGAAAGCATCAGTAAGCTTCAAGGCAGATCAATAGAAATTATCCAATCTGAAGAACAGTGAGAACAACTAAAATCTAACAGAACCTGAGACACCTGAAACCTGTGGGACAATACAAAGTAGTCTAACATGAGTAATTTAAAATGTAAGCAAAAAATATATATACTTGAAAAGATAATGGCAAAAAATTCACTGAATCTTGTAAAAGAAGTTACGAAGCCCAGAAAATCCCAAACAAGGAATACAGAGAAAGCCTTATGTAGGCACATCATAGTCAAACTGCAGAAAGCCAAATATAATTAAATTCTGAAAGTAGCTAGAAAACATTGACACATTGCATTTAGGGAAATAGTGATACAAATGATGGCTGACCTAGAAACAAGGCTAAAGGACAATAGAATGACATCTTTGAAGTGCTCAAAAGATATTAACCAATATTTTATATATAGTGATAATATCAACAATGAAGGTAAAATTAAAGGCATTTTAAAATAACCAAAAATAGAGAATTGTAAGCAGACCAGCACTATAAGAAATGCTAAAGAATGTTCTTCAGATTGAATTAAATGATGCCATATTAGAACTTGAATCTTCAGAAAGGATTAAAGAACAAAGGACATGGTAAATATACGGGTATTTATAAAAGACACTTTATTTTATTAAAATTCAACTGTTTGGCACAGTACCCCTCATTCACTGGTTAGGGCGCCAGCTACATACACTGGGGCTGGTGGGTTTGAACCCAGCCCAGGCCTGCTAAACAACAATGACAATTACAACAACAAAATAGCCAAGGGTTGTGGTAGGTGCCTGTAGTCCAGCTACTTGGGAGGCTGAGGCAAGAGACTGGCTTAAGCCTAAGAGTTTGAGGTTGCTGTGAGCTGTGATGCTACAGCACTCTGCCAAGGGCAACATAGTGAGATTCTATCTTAAAAAAAAAAAATGACTGTTCAAAGCCAAAGCCAAAGTTATAGCATTATATAATTGGGTTTATAGCATGAAGATGGATTGGTTGATGGATGGATACATAGAGGACAAAGCAAATACAGCAGAGTACTTAAATATTGTGGGTAGTAGAGTAGAATTCATTGTCTAATTCTTCCACTTTTTCTATGTTGGAGTTTTTCATAAGAAAATGTCAGGGAAAAAACTAAAGATAAAAAGGATTCAAGAGAAAGTGACAGGTATTGAAATTAGGCAAAGAAGAGCCAACAAATTAATAAAACTAAAGAAGGGAAAAAACATACTGAAAACTATATAATTCAAGTAAACTTTACTGAAATGGAAGTTTTTACTCTACGTTGAAAGAACACACTACTTACCTGAGAATATCAACCCAGAATGACCAATACCAAATTACTGGACTTCAAAGAAAAAGAAAAAACTTCAATAAGCATTAACATAAAAAAACAACTTACAAAAGGAAAATTAGATTATTAAACCTTTTCAAAGTTATGTTTTATGCTAGAAGAAAGAGGAGTGACATATTTTATATGCTCAAAATGTGAGCCAAGGATGTTGTAGTTATCAAAACTTCTAGAGAGTGAGACCAGCTACTATTACCATGTAAGAATTCAGTAACAATTATTTTCATGAGCTCTTCCAGAGGAACCTACTAGAAAAAGGACTACAAATAACCAAAATCACTAGAGACTTGTAAATTCCACATATATAACTAAGACCAAATGAAGGCTTGATAGGAGAGAATATAGTATATAATGTCTATATATTCTGACAGTGTGGATAAGTAGATGTGTGTAAATGATGGAAAGAGAAGGAGTGAGCATATAAAAATACTTTGTTTTATTATATTGGTGGTAGTAATAGTAGTGGTAAAATTCTGAGACCATTATATAATTTGGTATAAGCAAATTATGGGATAATTTTTTTTCTAGTATATAATTTATTTATTTTATTTGGGATTCATTGAGGGTATAAAGAGTTAGGTTATACTGATTGTATTTGTTAGGTAAAATCCTTCTTATTGTGTCCCGCCTCCAAGAGGTGTGCCATACACTGTGACCTCCCCCCCCCAAGGATAATTCTAGTTGTGTATGCAAGGATACTCTAATTATGTAAATTGAGCCTGGAACATCTTGTCACACCAGACCAATAAAGAAGCTGTTTAAAGACGAGATTCACATGAAAGGGGTCCACTTGAATAGGTATTTCAGACTTCAATAAAGGTAATTATTGCAATGGTTGGAAGCCTTTCAAATATATTTAATTCTGTAAGTTCACATATTTTAAGAACTAACAGGTTAGCATGGAAAGTGAAAGAAAATGTTTCTTTAAAAAGCGTTAAATAGAAAGAACCATTCACTTATTTTGGCTTTCCCAAATAAACTGGTATGACTGAATAAGCAAACTAATGAAGGGAGAAAGACCTCTGTGGTTGTATTCCAGATTAATAATAAAAAGGAATTGATAGAGGGATGGCGCCTGTGGCTCAAAGGAGTAGGGCACTGACCCCATATGCCAGAGGTGGTGGGTTCAAACCCAGCCCCAGCCAAAAAACTGCAAAAAAAAAAACACAAAAAAGGAATTGATAGAATTAAAATGTCATATGTTAAAATCCTTGATAAAGTAATGGCTTCTAACAACACCAGTAAAGAGACCCCCAGACATTATGGGCCTTTTTAGAATACAGCATCAGTTATCAGGGGTCCTCAAACTTTTTAAACAGGGGGCCAATTCACTGTCCCTCAGACCATTGAAGGGCCAGACTGCAGGCCCCAGGATGAGTTGGCTGCTAAGCAGGACAGGCAGTGGGGGCAAAAACACCCAGCAGGCCAGATAAATGTCCTAGGCAGGCTACATGTGGTCCACGGGGCCATAGTTTGAGGACGCCTGAGTTACAGTCTTGTCAAAGAGATCACATATGAGTCTGATCAGGTCAGTGGACTCAGTTCCCAATTTGAAGGAAACAAAGTGTTTTACTATGAGTTTGTTTGTCTGCAAAATCTAGACTGGGAGGAAGTAAAATAATGTAATGGTGATAGGTACATATAATTTATGGCTTGAACCTAAACTCGAAGGAAAATAATATATCTAAAATTGGGCGGACAGAAGCAAAGTAAGAAGAGTGGGAGTAGAAATACGTCTTCATGGCTTTTTCCTAGTTGGGAGTCAAAGCAGTAATTGTAACATAGGAATGAGGATAAAATATACCTATTAATGAATTGGCTCAACTAACTGAATTGATTCAAGTAACCTTTTAAAAGGAGCTGACTTTCAGAATCACAAAGCAAAACAACTATGTTTCATTTATTGATAATCATGTACTAAAAGCAAAATATGTACAATATATGTAGTTTATGTTGAAGCATAAGTGAATTTTGACAGATTTCTGGAAAGCTGCAACAAGAAACAGGTATTAATGGTTACTTCCGGGAAGGTGATTACTAACTGATTGATGAGTATATTTTATATAGTAGAACCTCTGTAAGTTGACCACCCAAGGGACCATAACAAATTAGTTGACATACAGAGGTGTCAACATAAGGAACTAGGCCTACTGTACATGTGGTACATGTCTGATCCATGAAAATTAGGTCAACTTAAGGAAGTGATTAGCTATAGAGGTTCTACTATGTATCTATCCTATATGGATTATTTCATATCTTTGTTTGGTATGACTTTTCTAAGGCAAGAAAAACTATATACTGTAGGAAATACACTGCTAAACATCTGCTTGTTTATGCCAACTTCTAAGGTGAAATACCAAACAAAATTCAAGGAACTATTTTTAAATTCTTTTTTTTTATATTTTAAAATAGTTTCAATATTTTTTAAACTAATATCTTTCTGCATGTTGGAAGTGGTAGTGAATATTATCTTTCTTGAGAATTAGAGAACTATCAATAGTTCTGTTATGATATTAATATGTTATACATCTCCCTCTTTTTTTTTTTTAAAGATTTTTACTCTATGGTCAGACATCATTAAAAATAAGAGGTTAAGGCTCCGTACCTATGGCTCAAGCGGCTAGGGCGCCAGCCGCATACACCAGGGCTGGTGGGTTCGAACCCAGCCCAGCCTGCCAAACAACAATGGCAACTACAACCAAAAAATAGCAGGGCATTGTGGCAGACATCTGTAATTCCCAGCTACTTGGGAGGCTGAGGCAAGAGAATCCCTTAAGCCCAAGAGTTTGAGATTGGTGTGAGCTGTGATGCCATGGCACTCTACCAAGGGTGACATAGTGAGACTCTGTCTCAAAAAAAAAAAAAAGGGTTAAAAGGTCCCCTAATATTTGCTTCAGATTACCAAGTTCTCTAAAAGGAACTTAATATTGCCCTAGAAATTTTATGGTAAGGGATTCTTGGTCTCTTGGTTTGTTTCATACTCATATGGAAGTAAGTCTTTATTTACTGTAATATTTGAGTTCAGTGACCCTTAAAGATTTTTTTAAGTTCAAAATGGAGCATTCTCCAAGTACACCTTTATATGTTATATTTCAATTATCTAATGTTTTTTCGTGTACTTTCTAATTTTTGTGACAGTTAACTTTTAAAGAGCAGCTTTCACCAAAAAAATTGGGCTTTCTAAATGTGACAGAACTTGTTGGAGCTCTTAGTGACATTCTCCATGTTGAGTTCAGGGAAGGAGAACAAGACTTAATAGTGTTTGATGCTGATAAGAAGCCTCTACCACCTGGTGAGTTGAACCACAATATGATGGAAACTTCATTTTTATTTGTCCTTATAAGGGCAAAGAAAAAGAAAGCATGAAATAATATTTAGCCATGAAATGTTTACATACAGTGTTGTCCTTTCTGGTGAATTTGTTGTAATTCTGTAGTATTCTTAAAAACCATCTGAATTTTTAAAATGACTTTCATCATTGTCCAGATTTCTGGATAATTCTGAAGGAAATAAACTTTCTAAAATGGTGGTCTGATAGTTCAGTGGTTCTTAACGCAGACTGTGCTCATAATCTTTTTAGAAATTCCCGGAGCTCCAGTATAAGTGGGTGTGTTTTAGGTCTCAGCACTTATATTTTAAAATATTTTTTATTTAGTGATAATTTTAGCTTTACAGAAAAGTTGTGAAGGTAATAGAGCATTCCCATATACCCTCATTCAATTTCCTCTAATATTAATATCTCACATTACCATGATACATTTGTCAAAACTAAGAAATTAACATTGGAACATTACTGTTAATTAAACTCCACACTATATTCTGATTTTACCAGTTTTTATAAGAATATCCTTTTTCTGTTTCTGTACCCATCCCAAGATACCACATCACATTCGGGACACTTGATTTTTGTTTTTCTTTTGTGAGGCTTGGAGTTTTTTACTTTTGAAATTTTTATTGTGATAATTGTAGATTCACATGCAATTGCAAAAAATAATAGAGAATGATTCCATGTACCTTTCACTCAGTTTTCCTAATGGCCACACCCTACAAAACTGTAATGTAATATGGTACTTATATTTTCATAGGCTTCTACAAGTGGTTATAATAGGCAGCTGCTGCTTTTCCAGAAACATAAATCTTTATTTTTCTGATTATTAAAGTAACTCATGTTCATTCTAAAACTATTTGAACAGCACTGATGAGTAAAATGACCTTTTTCATCATTTTATTCCCTTACCCCAGAAATAATGCTCTAGTGCTCTTAAAATGTTTAGATAGCTTGCCAGACTTTAAAATGTATATAAAAGGCATAGCTAGATTTTCTTTTTAAGTCACAAAAGCAATATATGCTGTTTAAACAATTCCAACAATACAGAGGTAATTGCATTAATAGTTTTAGTGGACCTCTTCTATGTAATTATCACGTGTATAATTTTTCGTACAAAAAAAGTAGTATGTAAATATAGATGCTCCTCAACTTAACATGGGGTTATGTTACAATAAACTGATTGAAAGTAGAAAATGCATTTAATACACTTAACCTACAGAACATTATAGCTTAGTTTAACCTACCTTAAAAGTGCTCAGAATACTTAACATTAGCCTGCACTTGGGCAAAACACAAGGACTGTTTTATAATAAATTGTTGAATAGCTCATGTAATTTATTGAATACTGTAATGAAAGTGAAAAACTGGTTGTGTGGGTACTTGAAGTATGGTTTCTATTGAATGCATGTCACTTTCACCCCTTCATTAAATCAAACTACCATAAGTCAGGAATTTCTGTATTAAGTACATGCTTGCTTGTTATACCTCATATATTGTGGACGTTTTTCCATATTAGTATGTACATGTCTATTTCATATTTTAAACTACAATTTTACATAATTATAATTATGTAAATAAGTATATTTAGATAAATAAAGGAACCTTTAGATTGCTTCCATTTTTCATCATTATAAAAACTACAGTGATAAATATTCTTATACTTACATCTTTGTATGCATATAACTTTCTTTAGGAGCCACTGTGGTTGTAGGTCTATTTAAGAGTCTGTTCTAATGTGCCAGCCTCTTGGAGTCATCCTATGCATGTAAATTTGAACAAAATGTAGTTGATTTAGAGTTCTCTAAGAATTAATGAATCATACCATGGATATTTTATACATTGTATGATAAACTGCTTAATTTGAACAAGAAATAAATTGACATCAGGATATTGAAAAAGTAAAGCCTTTTACTAAGGTTTAAGAAGCCTTACCAGACTGCAATCCCTCTGCTCCATAGCACAAATAATTTAACCTCTGTTTCTATCTAGGACTTCCTTTATACCTCTCCACACTAAAAGGTCTGCAAGGATAAATTCATTATCTCTCATTTGTCATTGTCTTCCCAGTGCCTGGCACATAGAAGGTGCTTAGTAACACTGGGACAATTATTTTAATAAATATGTATAAGCTATTTTGTTGAGCCATTTCAGATGGAACTATTTCATCAGTCATTTCATTTGTGTTTAGTTCAATCAGATAAGAAAATAGAAGCCAAAGCTTATGTCTCCAGTCCCCCTAGAAATTCACTGTCTGCTACTCCAATCAAGGGGACTTCATGGGATTGCCCTTCAAAAAACTACAAAGAACCACAACAGAAGATTTACAAGAAGCCCAATGTGGTGGTAAAGCCTTTACAGCTGGTGAGTGAAGTTTTAAGACTCTGTGCACTGGAGATACTCAGCATTATGGAAAATAATTGAATATTTTTTTAAACAAAATTCTTTTAGAAAAGTCTTATTTTTAGATATATCATTTCTTGGATGACACCAGATCTTTTACCTGAAGTTACCTTATATCGCATTTCTTCAAATTTTCAATATTTTATATACCTAGCTTTTTACCTTAAGTCACATTTTAAAGTTTTCAGATTTGACAGTCTTCTCATAATGACACTGCTCATTCTTTATCCATGCATTTCAAAATGTAGGCTTGAAAACTCTCAGAGACTTTAGAAAAATTGAAGAGCTCTGTTTTGGCTTATGCCTCAACAGCTGTGGCAAATTGCCCCTACACCATTTCACTTATAGGGTGCTTTTCTTTTTTTCCCCTTCATTATACCTTTCCACACACAGTTCTCCCTTTTTGTGTTCTTATTTCTGGTTACTTATTTTGTTAGTACCAAGGAATTAATTGCTTATTTCTCTTTCCTTATACCCTCCATACCTGGCTGCTTTTATGGAAGGAGAAGTTTTTTTTTTTGGAGAACCTGCTATAGTTTCCAGAGGACAATAGGAAGGCCTAGAGGAAAATAATATATCTTAGAATGAGAATGTTTGAGAAACAATATTTTTGGTAGAAATACTAGTCTGGAATTTAATCTGTTCCTTAAAGTTACCTTTGACAGTTGATATGGTTGGGTAAGATGAGAATCCACCCTAGTTCAGCCCTAAATATTATTGTATTTCTAATTTTGTATAGGGCAGTTTTAGTAAAACAATAAAAGTAACATACTTTCTAACTCTTTATCTAATATAATAAGGCAAAATTTTTCTTATTTTGACATAAGTAAGAACCACCTGGGGAATTTTTTTTTTTAACGTATAATCGTGGGCTCCATTTTCAGGTATTCTGAATCAGTAAGTCTGAACTAGAGCCCAAGAAACTTCATTTTATAGTTTTCCAAGTAATTCTGATAGAGGTGATTTATGAACTATACTTTGTGAAATATTATCATAGGGTTTGAAATGTTTCCCACAGATGTATAATGGTTTCTTTGATTTTATTTTTCTTGTAGCAAGTAGAAATGAACAAATCACAGCTCAACCTGCCAGTGGCAAATCATGACATCCCACCAGATGCTGTACGGGACAAGAAATTATGCAGACTTCCGCCATTAGATACCAGTACCCTTGTAGGGGTCTTTGTGGAATATATCATCTCTCCTAGTCAATTCTACATCCGTATCTATAGCAGGGATTCATCAGAGTTACTCGAAGACATGATGATTGAAATGCGGTAGGTGTTCTGTTGTTTTCAGTTTATTTTTCATGTATCTTATTATCTTATTCAACAGTTCTCAAATATTTTGGTCTTAGAATTCTTTAAAAATTAGAAACAAACTGGGTACAGTGCCTCCTGTCTATAATCCTACCCCTTTGGGAGATTGCATGAGACCAGGAGTTCAAGACTAACCTGAGCAATGCAGTGAGACCCCCTTCTCTACAAAAGATGGAAAAATCAGCTGGTGTGGTGTCATGTACCTATAGTCCTAGCTACTATGAAGGCAGAAGCAGTAGGATCATTTAAACCAGGAGTTTGAGGTTGTGGTGAGCTGTGACAACACCACTTCACTCTAGCCTGGGCAACCTGTGAGACCCTGACTCAAAAAAAATTAGATCCCTAAGAGAGCCTTTGTTTATCAATGTTTACATAGAAATTAAAACTGCAAACTTTAGGGTGGCACCTGTGGCTCAAAAGGGTAGGGCACCAGCCACATATGCCGGAGGTGGCGAGTTCAAACCCAGGCCTGGCCAAAAAAAAATCTGCAAACCTTAAAAATCCATATGTAATATAAATAACATTTTATTAAAAATAACTATTTTCCAAAAATATTAGAAGAGTGGCATTGTTATATATTTTAACAGATCTCTTTAGTGTCTGGCTTACTAGAAGAAAGTTGGGTTTTAAGATTTGCTTCTGGCTCGGCGCCTATAGCTCAACCGGCTAAGGCGCCAGCCACGTACACCTAAGGTGGCGGGTTCGAATCCCCAGCCCG